GTAGAGATACTAATTTCATATAATATTCTATGATCTGTCGACACAATATATGGTTGTGATTTGTGAATGTTTTTTTTTTTTTTTTGTAAAATATGTGGCTGTGAATGGTTCACAACTTTTTTAAAAAAAGATATAAAACGGAATTTCTAGCTGAAGAAATTAATTTGCACGCACCAATACAAGAAATATCCAACCATATCATTTATTTATTTAATATTTTTTTTAATTATAAAAAAATTTCATTAAATATTCATTGACTATTATATGTATTGTTTCTTTCCGATTGACTAATTATGTTACGTGATAATTCCTTTGACTTCGTCTTCTTCTCCTGGCTTAAAATGTCAAGTTGACCTCTTCTTCTTTTATTAGGTACGAACAAGTATAATTTCCAACTAATAAACACGGTCGGATTCTAGCGAGACCGGCGGTGATACAACATTATTCGATTATAAGTAAGAAATGCTCTAAATTATCACCCAAAACCAAACAGAACAAAACTTCCAAATATACCATTATTTTGAAAATAAATCACAAACAAAATTTGGAGTTAAGTAAAAGTTTAGTAAGGGTTACTAAATCATTAAAGACCCGTTCATATACTTTCACTATATGGAGCAAGAAAACGACTAGCAAGCTAAAAGTGTGACAAGAAAATGAATAATTTTGTTTTTACCGAAATTTGTGCTTACGTACTTTTAAAGTAACAATTACTGTTTTTTTGTTTACGTATATAGTATTTAAGTACACATGACATTCCTAATTTTGAAGAAACTGAGACAAAAAAAGATGTCCATTTTTGCTCCAATTAGAATCTTTTAATGATTTTAACGCAATTTTAAGTTCAAATAAAAAAGGAAAGTTGGGAGTTACTTGCCTGCCATTCATGTAAGCCTTGCTCACTATCAGGATTTGATTTCTTAACGGCGACTGGTATTCCGACGCCGGCTCTCGACGGAGCTAATGTTTTCTCATCCACCCATCCCTTGAAAACCTGTCCGAATCCACCTTCTCCGATCACAGACTCTGGTCGGAAATTCTTTGTAGCCGTCTTAAGCTCCACTAGTGTAAACATCTTTAGATTTGGTGTCACTATCTTCCCACTCGGTGGCACTGCTTTTCTTCCTAAACCCAGTTTTTCTACCGGCTTTAATGGTGGATTATCGACGGATCTCGCCTTCTCCTGCGGTTCTTCTCGAGGTGGGTTTTCGACGGATCTCGTCTTCTCCTGCGGTTTTTCCCGAGGTGGGTTTTCGACGGATCTTGTCTTCTCCTGCGGTTTTTCGTGAGGTGGGGTAGCGACGGATCTCGTCCTCTGTTGCGGTTTTTCACGAGGTGGGGTAGCGGCAGGTCTCGTTTTATGTCCTGATTCGGGCGCCGGAAACTTGGGATTTAACGCCGGCATCGCCACAAGCGCCGGTGGAAACTTTTTATTCTCTGGGTTATGGACACGTCTCACTGTATAGATTGATGATACACACGACCTTATTAGATTGAAACTTCAGTTGAGAAAATAAAAACAGAGACTTTAACAGAAAAGAAAAACAGAGTAAGCATTGACATTTTCATAGTTGAAAAGCACAATGGAAAAAAAAAAAAAAAAACAGGAAAGCATTTTTTTTGGGGGTAATTTAAGAACTGGAAGAAACTTATGAATCATCAGAAAATACAAAAGAAAAAAAAACGAGTAAATAGATCTAAAGTGTTTGGATTTTGCCCCCAAAAAAAAAGAACAGAGAGATGTGTGTATGAACCTGGGAGGGGTTTGGTGGAGGCAGGGCTCTGTTCATGTTGAACAGTGGAAGATCCAGAGCCAGGACATATGTTACCCATTAAGATCAAACCAGTTCTTGACTTTCCTCTGTTTTCCTCTGTTTTGAGTAATCCTTGCTTCACCCTTTACGATCATAAGATTTAGAGAGAAACTTTTCTCCAACTCTCCCTTTTTCTTTTTCTATCTTTCTCCTTTGGGGATTTTAATTGAAAGATTGAGGAAGAAGCTGAGAAACGGAGAGGAAAGACCAAGCAAAACTCTCTCTTTGGGGAAAATTTATTATTTATTTTAGTTTCATAAAAGGATGTGTATGTTTGCCCAAAAAAAAAAAAAAGGATGTGTATTTGATATCCTTTGACAACAAAAAAAATGTGTATTTGATATCGTCGTGATTATTATTACTTGATTGATTGGTTGATGTTGAAATATATATTTTATTGCCACAAATTTCAACGTTAATTAGTCCTTGATTTAGACGTATTTACATTTTCTCATTGCATACCATGTCTACGGTTAAATGTGAAAATGTAAATTACACATTTCAAGGCGGTGCTTATTTATTGGGTCGCAAATAGAAAAGAAAATCGTAGAATAGATAAATATAGAATTTTCATTATTCAAATTTCTTCCATGTATCCACCTAGTTAAAGTGAGAATAATTATCTTTCTGTTAGAAAAATTAGAAAGTAGAGTTAGTGAGAAATTTTCCCCCCTTCCAGAAGAAACACTTTTTTATTTAGGGTCTAAATGGTAATCGAGGAATCCGGCTGAATCTAGCTGAATTGCTGAATCTGATAGAATATATTTGTGTTTTCTGCGGAATTTGGCTGAATAATTTAAAGTTCAAATGGTAACTGCTGAATGTGGCTGAATTTTTTTAAAAAATCTAATCGATTAAACTTCTAAAATTATTAGCTAGAGAAATGTTTCGCCAAAACCAAACCGAAATTGACATAAAAACAAATGGATCTTAAACTTAATTTCCGAAAGAAGCGGAACCAAAATATTTTGGATACCTCAATAAATCGAAATACAATTATATATCTAAAACATTAGTTAGTTTTATAATGAATAATAAAAAGTCCAAATAACCAAAAAAATACTATACACTAAAAGATCTGAAAATTTCTCAAAAATATTCAAAATGTTATTTGGGTAAGTACCAGAACTAAAAAAATATTCGAAATTTTGTTTGTTCCCAATTGGTTCTTGATTCAAAAAACCGAAATGCTTTGAAATATTCGGAATCGAACCGCATTTTAACCGAAATTCTAAAATAGCCGAATGTATACTTAACTCGAGAACCGAAATATCCAAAACCAAAAATTACATAATTGAAACCGAACCAAATACTCGAACATCCAAGACTATCCACAAAATAAAATAAAATAAAACAAAAAATATCAAAAATATTAAAAATTACTAGTTCCTGAAAACAGACTTCAAAACACATTATTCAAAAAAACGTATCAAAATTTACTAATAAAATGCATCACATATTGTCATATTTGTTGTTTAATTCCCTCTCATATTATTTGCTTGTTTTCTAGTATTTGTTAAAGGTTTGATTAATTCAATAAATCAAAGAATAAAGTGGGATCACTATGATAAAAGATCAAAAATTCCACAACAATTTCACATATACAAATGATGTAACATGTATTTTTTTCCACATGAATTCCTCAATAATTCCACAAATGAATGTTACCATTAAAAGTTAAATTTTCTTCCATTTTTTCTTTTTATAATTCTTCCCATTTTCTCTAAAGTTTTTATCAGATCCGATGAATCATAATTTTTCAGTTTTTTAACTTATTAAAAAATAAAAGTATCATTTTTTATTTCACTGACTCCTACAATAAAGTTATGTACGTAAATAACTGTATTGTTTCTAAAAAAAAAACTGTATTGTTTCTTTATAAGACAAAATTACAACTTGCTCGTACTTCTTTTTCTTCGCACACCAAGTTACCATTCACATTTGTTAATGATCTTATATCGACTATAACGATCATATACGTCACCTCAATGACGTAACAAAACTCACAAAAACGCAGATATCGAGTGAAGATATTATTAGTGAACAAATTTCTTTGTTTTTACATGTGGAAAAAACTAAACAATAAAAAGAAACAGTAAATAGCATCGCAAATTAATACTATGAAAGAAGCTTTATTATCATGAATACTGCAAAAAATAAAAACTAAGAAAATAAATATCAGTGGGAAGAGGTCAAAGGGGAAGAACATTGTTTAGCAATGGCGGGTCCGAGTATAAACGTGACAGCATATGGAAACCTTTATAAGAAAATTTAAAAATAAATGATAACGACCAACGAGGGTCAAAAGTATGTGGTATCTACAATGATCAAGATAAGATTTGTTGATATTTGATACTTATATTTAGAACGAGAAAGTGGTTAAAACAAAACATTTCTTTTAACAGTCTATATCTTTGTGGCTTTCTTTCTTTCTTTCACACACACAGTTTATTAACAGTCCACGTAAAGTTTGAAACATTGCATATGTAATAACAAGACAATAAGACCGATGAGTCACGTAGAAAACGTGGGGAGATGTTATTTTATTCTTCTTCAATCATAAACCCTGCAATATGCGAGTATTATATACTCCCTCTATTTTAAATTAGTTATCGATTTAGAAGTTGAATTTTGTTTGAAATTAGTTGTCGTTCTAAGTTTTCATTGCATGTTTTTGACAGATTTTTCAATTTTACCTCTACTCTTTTAGTTTATTAATTGAAGATATTACATAGTAAAACAATACATTAATTAGGAGTAAAACAGAAAAATTGATTATTTTTTTAATAAACGTGAAAAAAACCTTAAACAACACGGATGGAGTATCTATGTAGACATGGGAATAATATGTGTAAACCGGATTAATTAGTGTAATGCAAGTTGACATAAATATATATATATTCGATAATTCGACGTCCGCGTAAATCAGTTAGTCACCTACTTGCATTTATGATTTAATTTCCTCCTCTTGCAAGAAATAATCAAAAGATTCGCTCTTGACTATATTATATGCATCTTGTATATGTCACATTCTTAATCTACTCTGAGATCGATGTTTCAATTTGAAGATACGTATATTTAGAAAGTATTTGTGTTAAAATCTAATTCATTTGAAATTTTATTTATCAAAACTATTATTAGTACTTGTATACGCATATACATGTAATTGTATGGATGACCCACCAATAACATCGTATGTACCTATATATATATATATGAACTTAAGAGTTCATTTTTAGTTTTTAGTTTTTTACAAAGCAACATATACTTCGAGCCAAAAAAACTCTCTTTATCCGACCAAATCCCATTCTTAAAAGGCTGACTAAACAAAAACACCCAGAAAAAAAGCACAAAACATTATTTATGCGGCCTTATCAGGAACCTTCTGATACTAGCAGAGGTTTCACTTATGAAATACAATTTAGTAACTCTGTTTTGTTTCCCCTCTTAACCGGTTAGAGTCCGTAGACTTGCGAGCCGCTCTTCGATCTTCATAAGATTTGCTCTGAGAGGCTATGTACTCAAATGCCACCACCACATCTCCTATTTTTGGCCGGTGATTCGCTTCGTCATTTAGGCACATCTCGGTTATAGCAATCGCGTAGTTAAGACACCTCTTCGAGAACTTTCCCCGTAGCAACGGGTCAACTAGAAGTCCAAATTTCTTAGGATCCTTGAGATACGGTCGAGCCTACATAACGCGAAAAAGAAAAAACACGGTTAAACGAGAGATTATGTTCTGGTTTAATCTGGTTCCAACTGTTGATCTTACTTACCCAAGCAACAAGGTACTGCTCTCCGTTTGGTTTACTCAAATCAATGGCCTTCCTGCCAGAAATCAGTTCAAGCAACACTACACCGAAGCTATAGATATCCGACTTAATGGTTAATCTTCCGCTCATTGCATATTCTGGAGCACAGTATCCGTAAGTACCCATGACTCGAGTGGACACATGTGTCCGGTTCCCCACAGGACCGACCTTGGCGAGTCCAAAGTCAGAGAGTTTGACGCTAAATTCTTTATCTAACAAAATGTTTGCGGATTTCAAATCACGGTAAATCACAGATGGGCTTATTTTACAATGAAGATACTCAATCCCACGAGCAGCACCAACCGCGATTTTCATTCGGGTATACCAGCTTAGCGGAATCTGATCAGGCTCAAGATCTGCTTCAAACAACAACAACAACAAGAAGAGAGAGGTTTGTTAATAAGAAAAACATGATGAAAACTTTTTGATTTTGGGGTAATTAAGAAAAACACACTTACCATAAAGATGATCTTCTAAGCTACCCATTGGCATGTATTCATAAACCAAAAGTCTCTGAGCACCAGAAGTGCAGTAACCGATTAGAGTTACAAGATTTGGATGATGAAAGACGCTAAGCATGCAGACCTCAACTATGAATTCTTGATTTCCTTGATGCCCATCTGGATTTAATTGCTTGATCGCCACCACCTACTCAAATTCAGTTCCCATCAAATCTTTTTACAACATTTTAAATTCTAAAAACGTTTTGAGTGAAAACAGAACATTGCTTACTTGTCCTGAATCTAAACGTCCCTTGTAGACGCTCCCAAAGCCTCCTTTTCCAATCATATTCACCTCCCGGAAATTCTTGGTGGCGGCGGCTAACTCCTTGAACGTGAAACTCCGAGCGCCACCTCCCGGTTTAGGGCTATTCACTTTCCCATTAACTAACCATAACCAGAAAACATATGTTTTCAAAAAAAAAAAAAATAAAAAAAATTTGATTTTAAATAATCATCCATAATATGTCCTAACCTAAAATGCCAGATTTTGACCCTGTCCCTCTTGGATCGTTTCTTGTGGCAACTGCAAACACAAAAGAGAGTCACGAATCATCAAGAAAACAAAAAAAATTGGAGATTGTTTTCAGATAAAAACAGAGAGATTTTTCTAAAACCTGAGGAATAATCGGTTAGGTCGGAGAGGGTATCAATGTTGATTCTCATGTCATTAGTTTGCGTGTTGAGACAAGAGAAACACCTCATTTTCCTTTATAAACTCGTGATGATGATGATGATGATCTTGAACGTAATTAATATAACAAAAATGGATTCAGAGACGGAGCTGGTTTGAGATGATGTCCAACATTATCATCAAACGCAGCTCCCGGAACCCCACACACGAAACAGAACAAAAAAAAAAAACCTAGGTTTCTCGTAATTAAAGAAAGAAGAACGAACCGGGATTATAAAGAGACTTTCTCTTTCTCTCTATAATTCCAGAAAAACAAATGGGAAAATGATTCCTTAGGAAGAATCTGATAATTGGAAAGAACTAAAATTATACAAATGGCATTTTGAATGGTGGAAAAATGGTTTCGTTTATATATTAAAAAAGAGTGGTGAAAGCAACTGTGAATTTTTTTTGAAAGGGCAACGGAAGAGAAATTAAAGGAGCCAATGGGATCCTAATTTTGGAACTGCGCGTCGTTTTCTTTCTTTCTTCGTTTGTTTTTTTTTTCAACGTTTGTTTTGTTTTTCGGTTGTAACTAAAATAAGCTCTCTGTACTTTGTTCATATAACAATGTAAGATTTATTGTCATGTTTCGAATTTGGTAAATAAGTGAAATCCTTTATTCTATCTCCAACATCACTCATAACGAAAAAAGATAGAGAAGTAATGTTCAAGTTTTATCACATCTAGAAAATTCTACAAAGTTTATATTCATACATCTTGTGAGAGTACTCTTATCGGTTTTCTTCCTTTTCTTTTTACTCTAAAAAAAATCAGAAAATTGCAACAATCTGTACATAGACTTTCCCTATATATTCAACCTTGTACCAAGAATCACATGCCTCTGCCTCTTCTTCTCCCTCCTATATCGGTAAAGCTTTCAATATTAGTACAAAGTACTTAGAGTTGTAATGCTAAATCCGGATGCTGCGATGAACCTGCCTGGTGGTTCGAGCCCGGTGAGTTTGGTGAGACAAGTCTAGCATTGAGATCCGGTGGCAACTGCTGAAATTCCTGTTTTATGTTCGGAAACAAGCCTTGTTGCGAAACAGCTGTTTCCAGCATCTGGTTTTGTGGTTGGTTAAATCCGCTGGAAGCACGGACTAGACCATTACTCTCGGTTTCTTGATTCAATACGTGAGCAGTTGGCACAGACTCTTTGCTTTCATGGGAAGAATGTCTGTTTCCTATGATGGAGCTTGAGACAGAGGTTGTCGGAGACATGATTCTGCTTGACTGATGATGATCATCAGACGCAAAGTCATTCGAACACTTCTGCTTTCCCGACACTAAGTTTTGCTGTTGAGGAGGATTCTCAGGAGGCGCTTCTGGGTTCTCTCCAACCCACCCGGGACCAAATTGGGTTCCAGTTGGTAACAATTTTTCAATTCTTGCATTGGCAAATCTCCAAGCAACAGGACCAAGATTTGCTGCATATCGTGCTAGACTCCTAGCATACCCATATTCAGTTTTCAATCCAACCTGGTAAAATAACGAAACAACGGTCAGATTCTTTGTTGCTTAGAACAAAGGAGAAATCTTTCAAGTTGCTAGCACGTACTGGAGTTAACTGTTTTAAATCATCTTCAAGCATTGTAAAAATCGAAGATTCTTGCAAGGAAGTAGAAATCTGGTCGTAGGTATCTCGCCTGTTCTCGTCGACATTTTTCATCCCGTATTTATGGACAGCCTTCACAACAGAAGCTACAGAAAATGGTTTATGTCAACAAAATGTGTTTGGCATAATGGACTCTGAAGAAGGTAATATTATAAAAGGAAGATCTTTACGTGGAAACTCCTTCTCCCAATCTATCATCAAGCCACTTTGATTCTCGCTACTATGGTTGATTCTAACCGAAGTTTCTGCTTGACGGAATCCATAAGAAGGAGGATTTTTTCTTAGATTGTAAGAACCGGATAATCTAGAGCTATCTCCAGCATAAGTGAGTGCTGCTGCATCAGCTGATATATTAGAAGTCGTGCGATCAATCAAAGATTGCTCAAGCTGTTTCTTAAGTCCTGAGCCTGGAGGACGGCCTCTTTTAACCACTTTAGGCTGTTGTGAAAGTGACACTGGTTCTTCTCCATCACTTTCTTGTCTCAAATTTCCAAAGTCCTTTTTAGCCAACTCAAGCATGGCTCGTGCCTGTTATAGCCATAGATATACTATCAGAGAATGGATTATAACAAAAGGAAGTAAAATAGCAAGTTTAAATAAGCCAAGACAAACCTGTCTGAAGTATACTGTATCTGCTGAATTGTATTCCATCGCATTCGTGCATATTAAAAATACGTCTTGCTGCAACAAAATGAAAGGGGATCAGAGAGGTTAACTCCTGACAATTAACAAACATTTCAGACCCCATTAGTTTTTCACTTTTAACAGTATATCTGCACCTTCTCAGAGTTAACACACTGTGGCTATCAAATTGTCAGATAGTTATCTTTTTACATAGTTAAGTAGTACCTTACACGCTTATCGGCAAACACAATGTTGTTACTACCAGAGAAACTATTGAACGAGACTTAACAACAATATGAAGAATCAAAACTATGAAAGGTGAACACTCCATTTTAGCTAAAGGCAAAGAGCAGAGATGTATTGAAAAACAGAAAAGTGATAGTTCAGTGAAAAGCATCGAGAATTGTGATACGTTCAAATACAAGACTTGCCTCAAATTGTTCTAAGGTAGTGTATGCCCCGGATTCTAATTTCTTCCGCAATGTGCTGAAATCCATGGGATTCTTGATAATATCATAATAATCAGGAAGCTGTAAACAAACTTTCACAGATAAAGATAAGGCAAAACAAATACTTTAACATGAAGAAGCTTAAACAAAAAAAGAACACTTCACCTCCTCTGGATCAGCAGGGTCAGAGTACACTCCATATGTATCCTTCCTTCAAGTATAGTAAAACAACAATCAATCAAAAACCAAACCCACAAAAATAGAAGAACATGGAGAAGAAGGAAGCTATGTCAGAAAATTGACATACTTTTGAACTCTATCTAGGATGAACAAGAGCAACTTTTTGTCTGGCAAAGGTGTAGACTCCACAAGTGACCCTCCTGTCCACAAGTTAAATACCACCATTAATTTAATTAATTACCAGAAAACAAATCCCAAGTTTTCTGCCTTTTCATGACTTCAAAAAAAAAAAACATGAAAAAAGAATTCATACTTGGAAGAATGTCTGTCGCTTTCGAAGCCTTTTCTCCCTGCAGAAATACAAAAACAGAGTATCATTCATCATCAACCTCAAGTTAAAAAGATCAAATCATAACACAATAAAAACAGGTGTCTGTATTTATGACAAAGTGAGAACAAGTACAATTTTTAAGGAAACTTAAGAAACTAAACTGATAGTAAAAGACAAAGCGAGAACTTGTCTCAGACACATGATTGTCTCTTCAGTGCAGAAACGGTCTTTAATTTTTCTGATAACTATGAATTAATACCAGAATCAAAACAATATTATATAATATTCAAAAAAAGAAAAGATTAACACCAAGATTTTCTCGACCAAGACAAAAAAAAAAAAAGAGTCGAAAAATAAAAATAAATATACAGAAAAAGCTGAAATTATGAATTCCCATTTCCCACCAACAAAAAAAAAAGGGGAAATAGTCAAAACTCATCACTCACTCACTCAATAACCATATTTAAGCATGAAGACGAACCTCAATTAACGCGCCAAAATCTTTAAAAAAAAAACCTAAATTAAAAGTTTTTTTCCCCAAATGAATTTTCCAAAAAGATTGTTTTTTTTATACTCTTTAACTACCGTATCGTCAGATCCGTCAATTTTCCGGCGTCTGATTGCATCGGAGTCCAAATCGCCGCCGACAGATTTGGAATTAGAAGAATCACGACGGTCGTGTGAATTCAATCCGTGCAAAAGCCGATGCTTTTTGTCTCTCCGCTCATCATCGTCGTCGTCAGAATTCGAATTCCGGCGATTTGATCGGGCGCCGGAATTAGGGTTTCTGAAACCGGATCTAAGCTCTTCTTCTTCTTCATCGGGATTTCTTCGCTGGAGCAATTGTTGCTGTTTGAGAGCTCGCTTTTGGAGGTCAAGTAGAGAAGGCCTACCTTTCTTCTTCTTCTTCATCAATGTATTATTATTATCAGCTACCTCTCCCATTCTCTCTCTCCTCTCTCTCTCTATTGTTCCGCCTTTCTCTTCTTCTAAAAAACAGTCGTTTCGTTTTTATTCATTTTATTGGGTTTTTTTTTTTTGCTTGCACATGTGTGAGTGAGTTCGTACGTGCAGACCAAAACGTGGACACGGGTTACTCGTGCGCCACTGCAATACACGTGGTTTACACTGTATGGATTGTTTTGGGATAACGTTTTTTCAGTTTTGAAATTTTATTGGGCCTACTACATGGGTCGTTATTCTAGCCCATTTGAGTTAAATCCATGTAAATGACCGGATTGCCTGCAATTCTTCTTTTATTTTTTGGGCCACTCATATAATGTGTAGCCCTGTAGGGTGCTGATTGGATCATGATTTTGATGATTATAGTAGATTAGTGGTTGATGCTTTAAAGTTTTTTTTTTTTTTTTTTTTTTTTTTTTTTTTTTTACATCTTTGGATAGACAAAACCCGATCAATAGCCAATTCCTACTACGTGGGGTAGTGCGACTTAGTAGAGTCGAACTCCGGTGGAGAAGGCGGAGTCAAGTGGACTTAACCACTTGACTAAAAGCACATCCCATTGATGCTTTAAAGTTTATACTTGGATGTTTTGTAACATTTATTTTATTTGTGTGCAATTTATCTATAACTTTATTGATCAGACCAATAATTAGATAATTGACTTTTTAACCCAAAAAAAAAAAGTTGATCTTTTTATATAGAAACAATTGAACCCAAAACTAATGTTCTGTTTATTGAAAATTATGTAAAGAAGAAAAAAAATTGGACTAAAAACATCATTTAAAATGACACCAAAACGTTTTATTTGGTTAGTCTCGGTGTGTTTCCCATGACTTCTCAATAAAATAGTCTAACGCTTTTTTTGGTTATATGTCTATTTTTTGTCGGTGTGTGTGTTTTTTTTTCCCGTCTTTGCTTAGCTGACTGAAACTCTCTTCTAGTTCCATCTTTTTTCCTCCGGTCTCAAATTCAGGCAAAAATATCTCTTTCGGATTCATACTTGAGACAAGAGTAGAAACACCGATGTTGTGTACATAGAATTAATTCGATTTAACACGTTTTCTATTCAAAGATTTGGAATTTAATCAGAGATCGTTCTCAATCTCTCAAGCTAGAAGAAGACGAAGCTAAGGTTCTTTGTTCTTGGCTTGCTCAGTTTCCTCAGGGCTTCTTGTGTTTTGAACTGGTACGTGTGTTTGTTATACACTACTAATACTATTCTGAGAATAAACAAAATTCTGTATCGCGATTCTAAATTTGGTAATATTTGCTATATTAGGGTTATATGAATGATGATTGTGTTGGAGAAAAATTTAGTTGCTTAATTTGTTAGGGTATAGTTTTAATTTTAACTGCTAAATTTTTCCTCTCATAAAAGCTAGAAGAACTTAGCTTAATTTGGTATATAAGATCGTTGATTACATGATAGTCTTATTATAGTGAAGAGGAAACAATTCATCATATGGCCGGAAGTGGAAGTTGGGATGGAAGCCAATCAGATAATAGCTCACAATTCGAGCCAGGGATTGATAATATATACGAAGCGTTTATCTGTCCATTGACTAAGCAAGTTATGCATAATCCTGTGACTTTAGAGAATGGTCAGACATTTGAACGTGAAGCTATTGAGAAATGGTTCCAAGAATGTCGCGAAAACGGTCAACCTCTATCTTGTCCTATAACTTCCAAGCAGCTGAGTATCACTGACCTAAGCCCGAGTATAGCTTTACGTAACACAATCGAAGAGTGGAGAGCCAGGAATGATGCTTTGAAGCTTGATATTGCTCGTCAGTCACTTTATTTGGGAAATGCTGAGACTAATATTTTGCTAGCTTTGAAGAATGTCCGAGAGATTTGCAGGAACATACGTAAACTTAGGCAACGTGTGCGCAATCCTCAGCTTGTTCGGTTGATTACCGATATGTTAAAAAGTAGTAGTCATGAAGTGCGGTATAAGGCTCTGCAAACTCTTCAAGTAGTCGTTGAAGGAGATGAAGAGAGCAAGGTTATTTCTCTGATCATTTTTTTTTGTCTCTGTTTGTCTCTTATTTCTTTGTTAATAATTTTTTAGTGTGTTGCAGGCAATAGTAGCTGAAGGAGACACTGTGCGTACTATAGTTAAGTTCTTGTCCCAAGAGCCATCAAAGGGGAGGGAGGCAGCTGTTTCCGTGATGTTCGAGCTCTCCAAATCTGAAGCATTATGCGAGAAGATTGGATCAATCCGTGGAGCAATCATCTTATTGGTTGGTCTGACAAGCAGCAAATCAGAGAATGTTTCAACTGTTGATAAAGCTGATCAAACTTTGACAAACTTGGAGAAATCAGAGGAAAATGTTCGACAGATGGCTACCAATGGTAGACTGCAGCCTCTTCTTGCTAAACTTCTTGAAGGTGATTTCACCAAACCACTGCTTTCAATCATTACTAATAAACTGATTTTCTCTGATTGGTTTTTAATGAAACATGATCTGCATCTGCAGGTTCACCTGAAACAAAAGTCTCCATGGCTTTCTATCTTGGGGTTCTTGCCTTGAATAACGATGTGAAAGTTATTGTGGCTCAGACTGTGGGTTCTTCTCTTATCGATCTTATGAGAACTCGCGACATGCGTCAACGGGAAGCTGCTTTGGGAGCTCTTAACAACATCTCATCGTTTGAAGGGAGTGCCAAAGTCTTAATCAACAGCGGAATTCTCCCACCGCTTATCAAAGACTTGTTCTATGTTGGGCCAAACCAGCTTCCAATTCGACTTAAAGAAGTCTCCGCCACCATTCTTGCTAATATAGTGAACATTGGCTATGAATTTGACAAAGTTCCTGTTGGACCTGATCACCAAACTCTTGTTTCAGAGGAAATAGTGGAGAACCTACTCCAACTAACTAGCAACACGGGTCCAGAAATCCAGGGAAAGTTGTTGGCGGTTCTTGTTGGACTCACTAGCTGTCCAAACTCGGTTATTAATGTTGTTTCTGCGATCAGAAACTCAGCTGCCATCATTAGCTTGGTTCAGTTTGTTGAGATTCATGAGAACGATGATTTGCGTTTAGCTTCTATCAAGCTACTTCACAACATTTCCCCACACATGAGTGAAGAACTAGCCAATGCGTTGCGTGGCACTGTTGGACAGCTCGGAAGCCTTGTTGCGATCATATCAGAGAATACAACAACAATCACTGAGGAACAAGCTGCAGCTGCTGGACTTTTAGCTGAACTTCCTGAGAGAGATTTGGGTCTCACAATGAGATTGTTAAGAGAAGGTGCTTTTGAGAAAATCATCTCCAAGATAGTTGGTATTCGCCAAGGAGAAATTAGGGGAATCCGGTTCGAGAGAACATTTCTCGAAGGACTTGTTAGTATTCTCGCTCGGATCACCTTCGCACTCACCAAGGAGACTCATGCCGTTTCGTTCTGCTGTGAGAACAATCTTACTTCACTTTTCCTGGATCTTCTTCAATCCAACAGTCAAGATAACATCCAGATGGCTTCTGCAATAGCATTGGAGAATCTTTCACTTGAATCCAAGAATCATACAAAGATACCCGAACTGCCTCCTCCCAACTACTGTGCATCTATCTTTTCATGTCTGAGCAAACCACCTGTAGTTCTAGGGATTTGCAAGATCCATCAAGGTATATGTTCAGTGAGAGAAAGCTTTTGTCTCGTTGAAGGACAAGCAGTAGATAAGTTGGTTGATCTCTTAGACCATGAAAACGAGAAGGTGGTTGGACCAGCACTTGCAGCTCTTTCTACATTGTTAGAAGACGGTTTAGATGTTGTACAAGGAGTGAGATTGATTGATGAAGCAGATGGGATTACGCCTATATTAAACGTTCTTTTGGAGAATCGAACAGAGAATTTAAGGATTAGAGCTGTGTGGATGGTTGAGAGGATCTTACGTATTGAAGAAATAGCTAGAGAAGTGGGAGAAGAACAAAACGTAACTGCAGCACTTGTGGACGCCTTTCAAAACGCAGATTTTAGGACGCGGCAGATTGCTGAGAAGGCGTTGAGGCACATCGATAAAATCCCAAACTTCTCTGGTATATTCACCAACATTGGTTAGATCTATATACATTCTTGTAAATGATTTTAAGATAATTTGATTCATTTGTTAAACTCAGAGAAACTAGAGCTGTCTTTCAAAGTTGATAAACACTGCTCATTAAGGAACAAAAAATTTCTAAAGGTAGTGCATTCAAAAGTCTGGTATTTAAGCTTAAGAGGATCTGCTACATTTAACTTTTCTAGATCTCATCAATGAATTCTAGAAGATCTTCAATTTCTTGCCTCAAAGCTGTGATCTTTTGCTGCTGAGAAGCAATCCGGTTTTCGATATCACGCCCTGAGGATTTCTTTTCATACCCTTCAACAACAGTGGTATGTTTGGCCATTAACTTCTCTTCAAGTTCTTTCTCTTTCGCAACTAGCTCCTCGACCTGCATTGACAAAAGAGACAGTTAAGCAGAGCGGAGACTAAGAGAGGCGAGAGAGGTGGAGGAGGGAGAAATTTAGAACCTTTGGAGATATGTGAGAGGCTATAGGGGAAGACTGTAAGAAACCCAGCAATGGTTTCAGTTCTTTCGAAAAATCTTTCAGTAAACTGTCAGTGGATTTGCGAGCTGCTTTGCAGGTTTGAATGTCACCGGTTCTTGAGAGATCACGCAGCGATGCTTCAAGCTTATCATGTGTAGCTAAGCATTTTTGGATGATGCTTTGGACTTCCTGGAGTGTTGCTAGGACCTGACAAACAAACAAACAAATGGAGCCGTTTAAATATCTACCATTTAGAGAAACAAAATATCAGTAAATAGCGGGAGAAATTGCTTGAGAAAAGATTCCAGTGTACCTCATCCCATTGAAGTTTTGCCAAGTATGTCGGAGAGGACTTGGAGATTGAGAAGTCAGCCCGTGTGTATATGATGCAAGTGATGAACAAAATGAAAAATCCAGAGATTAACATCAATGGCTCACTCAGCAGATTGATGTTGCTGAACTTATAGTAGACCTATACAGAAAATAAATCTCATGATCAATTAAAGTAGGATATATTCCAGATTTAGAATGACAGCATTTCTGACGTATCATATTACCTGGACATGCTGATTGTGATCTGGAACAACGTTGTTCTTTTCGAGCACAACAACTGGTCTACCAGCTATATCTAAATGTGAATATTTGATCTGCAAATGAACAGAATTGCAACATGAAGAATTCAAATCAGAATAAGAAAAAACAGGGAGAGACTTATAATCACCAGAGACAGTATCCAGACATGATAAATCATGAAGAGATAAAGCCAAGAATTTGCTACCTCTTGAGACTGCTTGACAGCGAATGGAGTGGCAACTGATATATCCTTTGACCCCTCGGGTAAAACTACCTGCAATGGGGGAGGAACACACAAAAAAACATCAAGCTATGACAAGGAAAGTTTCACTCAATGTCAGCACATGAGATCATCCATATTGGTTATTCACTGGTCAATCCAGTCACGATGAAAGGTTACTGCTTTGATTGATTTGATTCCACATCATTCAAGCTAAAGAAAATCAAATTAAGAAAGATAAAAAAGTTGAAAGTGTATAATACAGACCTGTACAATAAGTTTTTCAGTGACAAGGTCAAGTATAGGGGAGCCAAAGGAGATATTAAGGAATCGCTTTCCTTCCGAAGCAAACAAGAAGTCGCTAAGTGGCAAACCATAACCTATCGTGAAAAAAGTTTTCCACCCACCAAACAAAGGAAACCTAGGTTCAATTAGTAGCTCTGTCTGCAACCAAACCAGCAAAAAGATCAAAACACATACAGCAGTAATATTTGGAAGACCAAATCTCGTAAATCCAAAATATAAACCTTTTTCGAATCACTTTGCATCTCAGACGTGGAGATATTTCCAATATCATCCCTGTAATATATGGAATGGGCTCTGGGGGGTAATCTAGCAAGTAAATGCCTAAAGGCAGATGCTCCTCGGGGATTAGGTCTGGCTTGAAAGTCTAACCTGCGGTTGGAATATGAAGAGAATGAAGCAATCAATTTGTGAGCGATTAAAACACAGATTAAAGCTTTAGCAAGAGTATTCACCTTGAAAACTCTCCCCTGAGTTGAGCCCCTCGGTGGACAACATTGTAATGCTCCGTGACCTGTACATTCCCCCAATGAGACACTTCTATCTCTCGCACAAGCTTCTCAGCCACAGCAAATGCAGCCTTGCTTTCAAAATGGACAACTATTGGAGAATATGAATACGACTGGAGATTCTTGTATGGGCCATATTTAAGCTCTGAGCCTTGGAGCTTTGTATTCTCCAATTTGGTGTAAGATTCGATTCTGGCATTGGGTAGTTTGATAGACAAAGACTGAGACTCGACCGCGTAAGGAGAGAGATACTGTGCACTTTCTTGGAGCATAACAAGATGGATTTCACCCTGAGTAATCTTCTCCGGAAATGGCTGAAGTACATTGGGGAATGCAGCAACCACCTCCAACGTCAAAGTATCGCCTTTACTGAGTGGTGTGGGTAATGCAACAGAGTAAACACTAATTGAATCGGGTATTCCTTTCGAATCAGCTTCCCTCACAGAGAGATTGACTAACGTACGTTTAGATTTCCCCTTTCCCTCACTATGGGAAACCGATAAATAAGCCAAGTTGTTCCCAAGAAACTTTGGGAAGGTCAAAATAAACTCAGAAATTGATTCAGAGCCAGAATTAACGACCTAAAAAACAAAAAGGACTTAGAGACACCAACACAACAAGTGACTTGGTAAGTTGGAACCTGACTAACATAAAGTCTCATGGAAAATACCTTAAGAGTCTTAGTAACGCGAGCAATCTGTGAAGTCACATCGATCTGCACAAAAGCAACAAAATTGGATGAAAGGAAGCTAAAAGACTCTCGAAATGATTTCAATCCTAACGAGATTATAAGAAATCCATATAAAGGTTATATCTTGTGAACTGATTTTGAAGTGTTGAGCACAGATGAACAAATGCAAATTTGAATACAAAACCAGATCGAGTGATTGAGACTTACACGACGTTCGACTTTGGATAAAACCAGATCGGAGAACGCCGGCGTCGCAAGAAGAGTGATCGCCAGCAGAAGAAGCAACAGATCGACGACACTCGATTGCTTCATCCTTGTCAGATTTTTCCAACCAGTCTCCGAACTCGCTTACTCACTCAGAGACCTTAGGCATTTACAAAAATCTTGACTATTTTCCCGGGTCGGGTCGGGTCTTGTCAAAGCCCATCTATATTGGGCCTAAACATGGGCTTAAGGCACTATATTGGCTCTTTCATTAGAGACAGGTGGCGGTGAGTTATTGGTTGGATTATGGTGAACCTTGGCGCAGAGGATGATACAGTAGTCGGAAGCGTGAAAAAAACTAGGTGAGGTTTTGGTTTTGGCTGAGTGAGAATTTTCTAGGCGAGAAAATCTTTTGAGGAAAATGGAGACTTCTCTGAGGTATACCTGCAATTCCAAGTCCATGAAAATTCATGCCAAAGAGAAGGTTCCGGTGAACTCGAAAACCCATTTACAGGTGAAACCTTTGTTTTCGTCTCCTTCGTATTCGACTTTAGCTTTGTTCAGTTTTTTGGGTAGTTTCTTTAATTTTGAGCTTAATAATGCCCAAAAGTCTCTTGGAATTTGCAAAGTTTAAGTTTTGAGGTCTATCTAGGGTTTTATTTTGGGTGTTTCGGAGAATGTTGTGTGCATTTTACATGAGTGAACTTGTGTTTTCTTCGACTTTTGGTTAAGCAAATAAGATTACTTTTAAGCAGCTCTTGGAGTTATGAAACCTAATCTGAAAGAAATTGCTGCTAATAAAATTTGACCTGTGATTTGTTCCAATGTCCAGCATTGAGCTATTGCAGGAGTGGTTGGTTTGTGTCTCACACACTCACTCTCTGCTTGGAGTTCTTGTAGGATTCTGTATTATCATTTTGCTGTTAGGGTTTTGGGTTTTGAGAATGTAATCTAGTGTAGGGATAAGACAAAAAAAGATTATGTCTGAATGGTTAACTTCTTTAATGATTGTCAATGGATATTAGCAAAACGAACGTTCATACGCTTCCCAGAATCTTGATTCACTAGTTGTCAGTATGTATACTGAACTTGCTTGTTCTGCTCTAGATGTTTGGCTTTCTGTTACTATCTTGCAATCATATTTCTGTTTCTTATTTTCTTACATGGTTTTTTTTGTTTGGTGATAGCTTCATGGAGAGCTAGATACTGGAACTGGGTCCCCGAGTTACTTTTGTGCGATGATTAGACACTTTTTTCCTGAGGTTTGATTTCAATTTTCTGCTGTTTCTTCTATCTCTTCGCCCTGAAACATTTTACACCTTAGACTGATATTAATATAGTGTTACAAATATCACTTAGGCTTCAACAGGCCTTGGAGTAGGATTGCATTATGATAAGCGCCAAAAGCTTCGGTATCTTGTACGCGGAAAAAAAGAGTTTCCTGTAAGAGCTGATAAGCGTGTAACCTTTAATATTAAAGGGCGGTGTGATTTTGATCAAGACTTAAATCAGGTTTGGTGTTTGTGTTTTCACTCTCAGGAACTTTCTTTGAAGTTATGTTTCTTGCTTGTGCATTATGCCTAACCGAACTGTCCTCATTAACAGAGGAACCCTAAAGGAGCTGCAGAATTTGCCTGGAACATTATGGATTTTAAGGAAGATCAGGATGTACGGATCAAAGTTGGCTACGAAATGTTTGATAAGGTATCTCTCTCGTACCTGAAGTATGTTAACTCTTCCAAAATTTGCTCTTGAGGTGGAAATCTATCAATCTATAAGCTCACGAAGTAGACTGTTCGTTGAAACCAAAGTCTTTTTCGCTTCATAGTATCATTGATAATCCATCTATTTGCCTATTGCCCTCTAATATGATTGCCTAAGCATCACTCTCTTGAAATTGATTGTCATCATAATCAGGCTTACTATCGTATGTAAAACTTGAAAAATGCTTTCCATTTTTTTGGATTCTGCAAAACAATGTGTTGCCTTCTCTTTTTCAGGTCCCTTATATGCAGATCAGAGAAAACAATTGGACTCTCAACGCGAACATGAAGGGAAAATGGAATTTGCGGTATGACCTGTAGCTGCATTTTATATTCATCATCATCATCTGAGAAATGTATTGATACCACTACTGATGAACACATTTTAATTCTACCAATTAATCAAATTCAGAGATCTTCCAAATCATCTCCATTACTGTTGCTAGCTTCTGTGAAGTTAAGGGAAATGTAGTTTTTTTTTTGTGGTATAATAGGGTGCGTATCTACTTGAATTTTGACTTTATGAGTAGAAGACTGTAACACTCTTAGATCCCTCAGAGATCCATTGCCTGAACAGTGTGATGGAAACATAACTTAACCGGTAAAAATATGCTAAACCATCAACCCGAAATTTGTCATGATTTCACTAACCAATTCCAAACCTGGACCATCAAAAAACCAACTAACTCAGACCGGTTTGGTTTAACTGAAAATGAGATGGTGCTGATCGGAACATCAACATCAGTACCAAAATATGAGTTAAAAAGTCCTAACAAAGTGTTGATCTTCAGAATCCGAAGATGGGGTATGCTCAAGATTTGCTTACTGATCATCATGACTCAAAAAAGAGAAAACAAAAGGATCAACGATCGTTTTCGAATGGTAAAAGAAAAACTGAAAAAGTGACTCTGACAAGTCACCAATTTTATCGTTAGATTTGTTAGTGGTTTTTACTAAAAATCCACGTGATCTCTATGCATATAATTAATCAAATATCTACAATAATGTTTTTATTAGAGGCGGCGATATGTGAAAGCTCTGTAAGTGATGAGCTCGCTTTCCGTTTTATCCCAAAAGAAATTTTGTTAATTAAAAAAATTGCACTAGATGTGACAAGTTTTATCCCAAATCTTTGTTACATACTTTAAATTCCCCAACTTGTAAAGATATTTTGGAAAGTAATTGCAATTATCTTTCTATTCATGCATCTCATTCAACTTTTTTGTCTTTTACACATCATGATCTTTGTGTTTGCACAAACAAACAAAAAAAAACGACATCATCTTTGTATGTAAATGATGTCAGGTAATAACTCGTTTTAGCATGTAAGCTTAATTATACTTGAGAAAAGTATATATCCATTGTGATAATAATAGTTGATTCTATCTGTATGATAAAGTGATATCCGTCTACAAATTTCAATATCTAATAAATGACAACAAAGACAAATCACCTAAAGCTAAAATAATATAAATGTTTTCAAGAATAAAGCTCCTAAACAAATGATGTGGAGTGAAATGTATAATCATTAAACGGAAAGAACATGATCTAAAAAATCGTAGAATAGTGTAAATCATTACATTTCTTTTATGTTTGCAGAATAGCTAAAGAAAATTCGTGACTAATTCTCCAAATATATGTGATGTAGATAACTACAAGGAAATGGATGGAAAATAATTCATTTAAAATCTGTTTGGTGAAACTGGAAAGGCTTATCACAAGCCACTTCTTCAATTGAAAAAGGGCTATATTAACCAGGAGTTGTCTCTTAGTGGTAAAGGGCCCTCAGCTGGGGGTACCGCTACCTGGGTTCGATTCCTGGCCACTGCGGTATTCACATACGGGCTGCAGTGTTTCAGGAACCGACACGTGGAGAGTCATTTGGCCACCCACGTGGCTAGTCTGAGCGAATCGATAGCGGTGCAAACACGTGGACCTTTACTCTGTTGAGAAACCGATAGCAGTGCAAACACGTGGATCCTTGCTCTGTCGGCGAGCGTTAGAAAACCTGAGTTATCAAAAAAAAAGGGGGGCTATATTATATATCCGCTTTTGAATGATAACATGGAATTTTTTTTCTTATTAGGCTGTCTCTCTCTAGGCCACTAATGGGGGATGGAGAAAATCTCATGGTTGGCATTAAATTAATTTGGTCACATTCAATGCATTTTCTTTAAATCCTATAATTTGGTTCCAGGTTTCCCTACTTCGATGATATGTAAAAAGCAAACTCCTACGCATTATCAAATATTTAAATGCATATAATATATGATCATATGCATATATAATATAAAAACGATGGAATAATAAGGTCCAAAACAGGGTTTATATAAAAATAACAAAAAGTAAAATGTGCTTTACATGTTCACATGTGACCTGCAGATAGCAGATTATTTGCATATGTATAATTCCGCCGGTATATTTCCACAATGTTATAATAAGAATATCCATTATTACACGAACTCTTAACCAAAGATGTAAATTCAGGCTAACAATACCAATCTAATTAGTTTTACATCGTTGGTTAAGAATTGGTATTGTTAGCCTGAAACTACACCAGCTGGTAAAAGCAGTTTAATTATAACTAAAACTCTACACGAATTCGGTTATGAATTTATGGTTTTTTAGATATTAGTCAACAATTTATGATTCTTTGTAGTTTTTAGATTTGTTTGTTTGCTTCATATGTCTAGTCATGAGCTTATTATGTCCGTTCGTTTAAGTTTATGGTGACCAAAAGAATGTTTATTTTTTAAAACAGTATTTATGTAACGAGTTGTGTAATTTTAGGGACTATAGTTTCTTAGTGTCTAATAATAAAAAGGCGGAGCATGTGGCGGAAAGCAAGAGTGGGTGGTGGGAAATCGGAAAGTGATAAAAGCACACTAGAAGAGAAAGAGTCAACAAAAATATGTAATGGTCTCTTTTTTATATATTTAATTTTTGTCATCTAACTCTATTTAGAAACTCATAATTTCACACGTTTCCTCCTCCTTTTTCTTACCACACATTGTTTCATGTATTATTCTTCTCGTTTTTCATTTATTTAGTTTCCTCTTAATCACTTAGTACGTTTAATTTCCATGCAACGATATACAATAAACGAGTAGTAACGTTCAAGACAGAAAAAAAGAAAAGAAAAGAGAGCCGGCGGTTATTATATCAAAATGTATATATACAAGCTTATGATCTTTCGGTAATGAATATATAAGTTAACAACCACAGATTTCAACAAAGATATTTAACTTAAAATTGGTTATAATGATTTCTTGACTCTAAAACAAAGCTGTTTACATAGTTATTAGGGTAAGAATTGGTAGTACAAATGGTTGAAAATGTATATAAAAAAATAAAAACAAGAGAGTGTATATAAATTGAGTGATAAGTAAAGGGAAAAAAGTTTATGAATAAGAAATGGACAGGCGTCCCTTTTTGCCAAATTCTTTTCGAGTGTTGATGCATGTTTTTTAGTTAGTTGTTATTATCATCTTTCGCACAAACTATGATGACCATTGAGGCCAAAAGTTTCACATGAACCTTCATTTCCTTCTTTACATATTAGGCCGATGAGGTGACTGTTCTCCACATATGTTTTATACCTCTTTTTACTTTATAGTCAGGAGAATTATAAACATCTTCCATATGCATGAATAATTTTGTTAATAAAAAAGTTTCACAATCATTAACCTTCATTTATTTGTTTATATATTATAACTGTATATTTACTTTATACAGTTATAATATGCAGGACAAAAATAATTAAAAGTTTGCCATATGAATATTTTCTTTAGAATATGTTTTAGCAATCTCTTACCCAAAAATAATCAAGAAACTTGCTTATCATATCAATGTGTATGTAAACTAATTGTTGTATCTGCACCCTAACTTCGTTTTCGTAGGTTAGCTCAGTTGTTCGTTCTATGTGTACGTGGCATTATTCTCATGGCTAAGGGTGCTTGGAGAAAACTGTACAGCCAAAAATGGAATTTCGAGATTATGGTTGAGACTTCAAAGCCACAAACTTTTCTCAAGTGTAAGTACGAGACTTTTGATATTAAGATTTAAGATTATTCTTCTAAATAGATGTTTGAATATGCATGCATCTGTGACTTTAACTTAGTTTTTATACTAATTGTAGCTACATTAAAAAGTGGTGTATTTTAATAATTTGAATGGTACTCTGGTTGATATATAGCTTTGTTCGGAGATTATGGGATTTGCCCAGAACCTTAGTCATTGACCTAGTTTGTATTCATTCTTTAATGTTACATAATTCATTCTTTAAAGTTATATAATACCCTTGTTTGAAAAATCGCTAGGCGTTAGTCGGGCGCTCGGCATGGGCCTAGCGATTAATCGGAAAATCGAATTAAAATCGGGGATTAATCGGGGATTAGTTTTAGGGTTATTTTAATATTTTTAAAATATATTAATCCAATATTGTAAAAATTTATGATTTTTATTACAAATTTATGATTTTTATTAAAATTTGAACACAAGTTATTGTAAAACATCACAAACTCCCCATTCAAATGATTGAATAACAAAAATAAAAGGTTTTTTTATACTTGCAATATAAAAAATAATCGGGGTATATAAGATAAGGTGGAAAATAATCGGATTAGGCGGGAAGTAATCGGATTAGGCGGAGAATAATCGGGTTACTGATTTTTTAGGGGATTAGTCATTAATCGAGGCGGATAGGGTGGGCCTAGCGATTAAGCAGGGAGTAATCGGGGCTAGGCGGGGATTTTTAGAACAGGGTATAATACCATGAAATTGTGGTTTGGTGATACAATTTCCTAGTTTTTTTAGCCAAAAGATCAGATAAAATATTATACTTTCTCGGTATATAACATGATACATGACAAATAGGTAGATATATATATATATATATATATATATAGAGTTTGAAAACGTTTACAATTTATTTATTTTCTTTGATCACTTAGAGGTGGTATTGGTGATGCAATCCCACCGTCATTATTAAATAACTAATCGTCTATATATGAGATTGATATACAAAAAGACGATGAATCCCATGTATAGAAAAAAAAGTCATTTTTGGTTTGGAGGAGTAAGATTAAAGATTGATCTTATCTAAACATTAAAAAGTTTTTCTTAATGAATTAGTCGTTATCCCAACACCAATTGCCATGTCAGCTTGATTGACTGCAAGTCCTTGACCAGAATTTTTTTCTTTTCAAAAGGATTTTAACTCAAGCATTCGTTTTTATAACCAACAGTCTGGGCATTTAACTCATAATTTTTTGTAAGTCATAATGTTTTAGTACTTTTGAGTTGCGACGAGTTCAGTAGTTCACAAAACGTAAATCATCTAGGAAAAAAACAAAAAAAACGTAAATCATCTATGTCCTAACATAACACTAAAATAATGGGTGTTATTTAGATTTGGTGTCTTTCAAGTATCTTGTCCCAAGTCCTAAACATAACATTTTAAAAGAATTGTTTATTTTTTTTTATTTTGTGTATTCTAATATTATATATCTTGTCTACCAGACCAGCCATTGATTTAAAATGTTCTTTTCGTGATTTCAAAGGTCATCGTAGTAGTACGTAGAGTAGAGAATCACATTTCTCCACTAGTTCAAACGTCATTAAGTTTCTTTGAACATGTGTATCATCAACTGAGGCAAACACTTATAATATTCGTATAAATGTTCAACCCATATTTGGAATAGCTACTAATTAAAATATTAGTATTTCTCAAATATTATAAAAAAAATTATGAGTGCAAAATGTAGGATCTACCTATGGCATGTCCATCTAACAAATGTATAAGAGTAATTCTAACCCTTCTATTTTTGTGATAACTTGACAGATAACTAAATCTTAAAATATATAGAATCTATTAAAAAAAATTGTCATTTAAAATATACACAAATGTTTTGAATAATTTAAATAATTTTATTCCCTCCACTTTCATGGCTAATAGTAGACCACTATGAGTTGATAATTTGATCCAACTTTGTGAAATCAATTATCAACAGACAACACTCTATTACAATTACAACTTCATAAACAAACAAAAAAGGTTCATAAATTCCATAATTTACCTATAATTATGTAACATAGTTAACCCACTACAGCAGATTCCGCCTGATTAGTTGCTGTGGATGACAAACTAACAATTCATAAAAACGTTAGGGTAATTATAAATTTATAATACGAGAAGAAATAATGTTAAGGATAAGCGATACACAAAAAAAAAAAAAAAAAGAAAAGGATAAGCGATACACAACACACGTTATCAACTTATATCGTGGTTTGGTGTTCAATGGTCGCATCGCACACACACGCTTCTTCCACTCCCATCATGTATATGCCCCCACACGCACCATTTCATTACAAACGCCAAATTTAATCTTAGCAAAAAAAAAGTCCACCAAAACTATCAATATCCCATCTAAGCAAATAAACAATATTTGGAACGTCCAGAAAAAAATCAGATCATTTCAATATCAGCCTATGTTTTTTTTTTTTTTTTGATAAAAAATAACAGCCTATGTTTTCTTAATTTTCTGGTAGAAAGATGTTAGGTAAACTAAAAACATCTCATAATTTGGAAAAATGAGATATAATATACAGCGACAATTTAATTTTAAATAGTGTGTATGCTACAGAAATATTTATAGACTCTCTAACTAATGTATAGAGGGATATTTATATAGATTAGTGTGAAGTGTAAAAAAAAATCATGTGTCTACTAGGCATTTACCTAAACGTAACCTTTTCTTTCTTGCCGACCTGTCCATCCGTAAAAATTTGAGAACGTTAACATACAAAATATTAGGCAAAATATCGAAGAAAAGGACTCATAGAGTTTACATGAGCTAGTCTTTTGAATTATTGACTAAAGGCAACAACTAATAACAATTCGAGATTTACGAAATAAACTAACCTTATAACGGAAAGTGATATTATATTATAAAAAAAAAAGCACTTTATAATATAAAGCAAATATGAAATACCCAACAAAAAAGATCTCACTCACTATAAATCCCTTTCCTCTTTGCCTCCCCAAAAAACGCTCACACTCCTAATCCCTCTCAAGTTTTCAAACCAATCTCTCTCTCTCTCTCTCTCTCTAAGTCATTAACAATGGGGCGCCTTCTCTTCCGTCTTCTCCAAGAAACCAATTCTACATCTCCGCCGGAAGCTCCTCCACCTTTCAACTCCGACCTCGTCCTCATCCTCGCGGTTCTTCTTTGTGCACTGACATGTATCATCGGCTTAATCGCCGTCTCTCGATGCGCATGGCTCCGCCGTATCGCCTCAAGAAACAGATCGGATCAAACTCATCCACCGCCGGTAGCTGCGGCTAACAAAGGTTTGAAAAAGAAAGTCCTCCGATCGTTACCGAAACTCACTTACTCGCCGGATTCTCCACCGGCGGAGAAACTCGTGGAGTGTGCCATCTGTTTAACGGAATTCGCCGCCGGAGACGAGCTTAGGGTGTTGCCGCAGTGTGGACATGGTTTCCACGTATCGTGTATCGACACGTGGCTCGGATCACACTCTTCTTGTCCTTCTTGCCGTCAAATCTTGGTGGTTGCCAGGTGTCATAAATGTGGCGGGTTACCCGGTAGCTCAACCTCAGGATCCGAACCTGATACCCGAATCAAGCAACGAGAAGATGATCCTGCTAACTTCTTACCTTGATTCTTTATTTTAGACATATCCCCATTTTATTTTTTATAAATGGATTTCGGTTAAACAAGATATAATATTAAAAAGTGTTCTTTATCATTTTAAAGGATAATGTTACTCTGTCATGTATATATATTTTATCTATTGTAAATTTTATCATGGAATGGAAAGTTTATCTTTATTTCTTTTTGTCTATGTATTATTTATACTTTAAAGCTACAGACCATGAAACAGTTACAAGAACTTGAAACTAAGACGTTGGACCACACAATTTATACGTAACTACAATCCAAATTACCCGGAATTAAAATTTGCCTTAGATGGTTTTATGTAAGACATAAAAATACATAGTATATGTCGTGAATAGTTTACGTTTGATAGAAGCATCAAGGGGCTTTAGTCTATCTGAAATGTTGGTTGTTCAGTTGCTACAAATTCGATTAACTAATGGAATATTCCATAATGAATGGGAAAAAGTAGACAGATGGACCAGTATACGTAGAACAGATGGTGTAATGTGTTTTGTGTGAGTTTTCTTTTTCCCTTTTCCATTAATAAAGCACCAAACTAATTGTCGGGTTTTATATATTTAATTTGTTCATGTTTTTCTGTTAAAAGTATTTAAATATTGGGAACACGAGCCTGTATCCCACTAAATCATCAAACACGGCTTTAAATTATTAGAACTCCGAAAATGACCATGAAGATGATCTTATTTTTGTCTTCGAAACATTGACCTAACAAAAGATCGCCAAAATCTTAAAGAGTACAGCTAAAGTGCGAAATAAGACAACAAGAACGTAATTTAAAAATAATTAGTCAAGATGTAGATAATTACACACACGAAAAAATAACTGATTTTAGGGATTATTTATCTTTCTCCGTGTAACCATTGAGTAAAACACATACGAATAGTGATGGTCAGGTCCACCATCGCGATCTATCATCATTCATCACGAGTTTTTCCACTATGGAAAGTGCGTCCATGTGCTAAGTGCTATGTTATAAAATGAAATAAACTAGATTGCATAATTGACATTGAATATAGCATTTATCACAAAAATGTCCATCTTTTTTTTTTCTAACGACTATTTTATTTCTAGTGAATCACAAATAAAGAATAAGAAGTCGAAAGTCAAGATTGGTTTACCTGGTAGTCAGAAATGCAGGCGGTCTGACTATCCTTTGACACTTAGTCGGAAGGCACACTAAACTCGGGATAGACAGAGTGGTAGCCCGAAGGGCCTAGCCGTTAACACGGTGGACAAGTCCACTATGTAGCACCTCGGTGCGTTCCTACCGGGGCCGACCGGATAACCGATAGGATATATCAAAAAAAAAGTCGAAAGTGAAGACATGCTTTTTGTTTGTTAAAAGGAGGACCTATACATTCTCATAGAAAAATGATGAGACCAAATTCCCAATCAGGCCGAAGATTCCCACATTCCTGTTTTTGCATTATTAGTTAGCTACATTAGTTTTGTTATTATTATGTTTATTCCCTAGTTAGTGGTGTTACAGTTAAATAAAATCATCATCGGATGACAATATCTGAATGTTTTGAAAAAATTGTACATATTTTTTAGCAGAAGGAAACGTGATGTTCAAATTCAAATTTGATGGACATATAGAAACCAATTTCTTTTACAAATTTCACGCTTGAATAAGACTACATATCTAATACACTAATAATTTTATGTTTTGGAATAGATATGTGCATGCATCATGATTTTATACTATATTTTAAATCTGAATATTCTGGATTTATTGATCATACATATATATCAAGAACAATGTGGATGATTGGTTCGTTTGTAGCTGTAAATTTATTGCTGTAAAATTTTTGTTGTAGGTGTGATAACTGTAGCTGTAGATTTTATTGCTGTAGAAATTAGGCTGTAGATTTAATTAATATAATATTATTATTTAAATAAATTGGTTGTAGCAATAAGATTTTAGTTTTATGTACTTTTAAACAAAAAATATAATTAATAAATAGTAGTTATGTGTTATATAATTTCTCAAATATCAATTTAATAAATTATGATATACATATATATGATGTATTTTAAAAAACCAATGTGAGTTATATATATTTTTCTGCCCCCGAAAAGAGTTATATGTCAAAAAATAGATTTTTACCTACTACAGTATTACTTAGATCCATAAAAATAAATTTTTATAATATATATATATATATATATATATATATATGGATGAAAAAATAATTACTTTTTAAAAGAAAAGGAAAAAATAAAGTGGAAAGAAGAAAAAAAAAGGTACAGCTCTTCTAAAGACCATAAAATTGTACCGTATAAAAATTTGTACTTACAGCCAAAATAATTAAAAAAAATATTGTTTGGGCTGTGAGAAAAAATAGGAAAGTTACAACATTATTGTTTTAATTTTAGGGATGTAGCTTTTTTAGTGGCTTGAAACATCTCATACATCCCAACCAGTCATGTCCAATATCACAACACTTGTTAATCGTTTACCATACAATTCTCAACTGTATTCATTCTCAATTGATATGCTGTTGATTGTTAAGGTATTTAGTTAAAGTCGATTTATGGGCCTCGCATGTGTTTAATGGGCTTCGTAGTCCGAAACTATGACCAAACTTATTAAATCGAGCTTTAATTTCTTTCCTTTTTTCCGTTTTGTTATAAACCTTCGCAGGAGAAAGTATTCAGTTTTTCACTTTAAAACTGGCAAAACTAAAGCATGTAAACAAACTGACAAAGACATAGTAGCCCGCCTAACCAGTCCAATTTAGCATTATAACTGAAATTTCATTTTTGCAGTTCCAAAATCTTGAACACATGTAAGAAAAAAATGAATATGAGGGATAGTCCATCGAAAGCCAAAAAAAAAAAAAAACAAGAATGACGTCAGAATAGTTGCAAATATGAGTGGTATTTATGACATCACATCGAATAGAGAAACGCCCACAAATACAGTTCATCAAAAGTAACACAATAATAGCTTCTACCTGCAAGTAGCAACATAACTTTTAAAAATTTTGTTCTACAAAAGATTTTGGATCTTAGGAATAATAATATTTAGACGAAAAAAAAAAAAAAGGAATAATAATATTTATATAATTTGTATTTTACAAAAGTTGAAAATAAGAAGAGACCAAATATATAATCCAAGGGCCAAGATTCTACAGCTGGAAACCTAAAGGACATGGAGAATCTAGTAGCATGTGAAGAGGTCCAGGAGAAGACGAAAGACCCAAAAGACCATAACTCGCTTCCTGAAACAGAGGGTTCTCCAAGTAATCTCGTACGTCAAGTTCGTTATTATTACCACCGTTGGAAGACGGCTCTGTCTTCACACCGAGGTTAAAGTCGAAGTCGTCTTCATCGTTGTTGTTGTTCCCCGGCGAAAAGATGATTCCGTTGAGCTGAGAGACGACTGGGTTGATTAAGGCTTTGAGCTCGTCGATGTTGTGGCCTGATGATCCGTGTAGGAGGTTATTATTGTAAATTTGGTGGGGATCATCGTAGAGTAGTGATGGGAAGTTGTTTAGGGTTTTGTTGGAAGGTTCTAAAAGCAAAGGTAAGGCTTCATGATGATGATGATGTGTTGCTGAGAGTGAATGGTTATGAAGGTAGGTGATTTGGTTATTGATTCCAACATTTTTTCTATCTCCTGTTTTATTGAACACTCTGCAAATCACCCATTCCTCCTGTATTTCCACCAAAAATAAAATAAAAATAAACATGTTATTACACAGTATATACTCCATTATATGTAATGACTACACCTAACCAAGATCGATATAAATCTTGTTTGAAATGTGAGCCTGACAAATTGATTTTTGATGATAGTTTTTAAGTGTAATTAAAAGGGTGCGAAATAGAAGAAAGCAATAGTGATGGAAAACGACACAACAGTAGCATCGATGAACAGAAAACGGCAAGGTGTGTTTGGTGTTGACATCCACACCACACGTACAGGTTTATATCAAATCTATCACATCTAAACTGCTCTCTCCCCTGTCCTCCCCATATAAGCCAAACAAAACAATGACAATACTATTGAAAAATTGAATCAAGTAAAATAAATATATGAAATTGGAAACAAAAGGTGAAATATTTCGGTTAAACGTTTCATTTCAACTTGTCGATTTTAAAAGTCAACACTTTAATGGACAATAAAAACATCGAATACATATTACATTCGCAATGTTAAAAAGAATTTAATGTTATAAGAACGGACTTGTGTGGATAAAGTAACAAGTTTTTTTTTTTTTTTTTGACAAACGAATTAAGTAACAAGTTAAAACACTAAAAACGAAGGTGAAAATACAAACTTTTTGTTTCAAAAAGTCAACTCATAGATTGACAAGAAAAAATACAAATTTCTTTAAAGGAAGAGGGAGTAAGTAATTTACCTTACACGTGTGGCGGTGTGAATGGTCGGTTTCGAGGCGATACTCATGCATGACCCACTTAGTCTTGAGGCCACGTGGAGCCCTACCTTTGTAGAACACCAACGTCTTCTTCATCCCAACAAGTTGTCCTCCGCCGCCGGCGAAGACCTCCTTATCTTTTCCGGTAGCTTTCCAATATCCAGCAGTAGTTGCTCTGTTAGTCCTCAAACCCGTCGGATATTTCCTATCCCTTAGACTATAAAAGTACCACTCTTTCTCTCCCATCTTCGCCATTTCTTCATTTAACAAAAATTTCAAAACGTTATTTTCTTTTTGTTAAAGATTTATCAAAATATTCAAACTTAAAACAAGATTCCAAAAACACAAAACTTTTAGAGGAGAGAAGAGACAAAATGTTTTAATATATTACCGGGTAGTTCCCAAGGTTCACAACGGTTAAGATCAACTTCGGAAATGTGAATGCCGGAGAGTCCTCCATGGAAGATTTTGGAAGCTAAGTAGAAGGTAATGAGCTCTTCGTCCGTCGGGTGAAACCGGAAGCCAGGTGGCAATCCTCTCTCGTTTCTTTCTTCTCCGGCGAGTTCGCTTAACACATCTTCCACCGCAAGCATCATCTTTTTACTTATTATAACCGAAAAAGAGGCTTTTGTTACACTGAAGAGACACCAAAAGGAAGAACAAAGAGAGCAATGATACAAAAGGTGATGGGAAGTATAACCTTATTGTGTGCAAGATTATATATTTATATACAAAAATGGCACATAAATCGAAGATATGATAGAGAGAGAGAGAGAGATATGGGGTGTGTATGTAGAGGGGTGTGTGTATAGATGTGTGGATTTTGAGTGTTTGAGGTTAGAGGAGCATTGATGATAAAGGCTGTGAAATTCAGGGAGCAGGGGCTTCTATTTGCCCTCACCTGGGGACTCTCTTTCTATTATTTTCCTATGCAAATAATAATTAAATTATACTACTACTATAACATTCTAATTTGTAAAACAACTTTTGCAGTTTTGTGTTTTATCACTATACTGCTTTAGCAAAATTCTTATGGTCTTGGAGTTTTGATTGAGACTGGGTGATGTTAAGTTATGATCTTTCGTTAATGACTAGTCGGTTGGTCAATGGATCATTACAGTGTTGTTTTTGTACTTTATCTAAATTCAAATGTAATAGTATATGATTAAATGGTGTTGACGTTTTGGCTTTTGTTTTTAAAATATAATTTTTATTTATTTTTCAACAAAAATTCTTATTTGGTTTGAAATTTGGAATAAAAACGAGAGAGAGGGAGCTGTTTAACAAGCATACTGTTTTGGGTGGATATGTAGTTGAAAAGTACCATTATACCAATATGCATAAATAAATAAAAAAGCTTGTGCCTTCCATTAAATATTTGGAAATATGCAATGCAACCGCAAGATTAAAAGACACCGATAATAAGGTTATCTCATACTCCACGTCGTCGATTTCTCTAGGGATCCCATTTCTCTATAACAAAACAATTTGCTGTCGTAGTGAAAGATTCAGATTTCAAGAAATGTCAAACAAATAATGTAATCTAAATTTCTTACGTTTTATGGTTATCAGCAAATAAATTCTACTTTAAAGAAAAGAAAAGGAAAAGAGTGTGCAGTAAAAAGATGGCAGAGGTTTATGCGTGCGGGTGTAAGCATATCATTATACATTCATGAGTCAGACCTTTTTCTTTTAGAGTATTATTTTATACACATTCTCCCCTGAGATATATACCAATTCCATTCGTTTCCTTATTTTTCCCTTAACCACTTTCTCCAACGGTTAACTCAATTCTGTGTTACAAATTTGCTTCTTCTTCTTCTTCCTTTTTTTTCTTTAATAATATAACATGAATTTGTTTACCTAAACCGATGAAATTTTAGATTATTTGTTTACATTTCTTGTTTAATGTTTTTTTAATAAATCCGCAATCACAAATTTGATTTGTTAATGCAACACACATTTTTTCTTGGGTCTTGAATGGCTGGAGCAGTTTTTGGATTATGATTTTGCAAAAGTCTTATAATCACCCATTCATGATTCTACAAAAAGTAGATTTCCTAAAAAAATAGGAAAACTAGGTTTTAAGAGATTTTGCCTATTTCTTCATATAATCCAAAAACCAAGTTTTGTGGGTTTTTCTAATAATTTACGTCACATTTTTTTTCAATTATTTTTTATTATTTGAAATATGCTATTTTCACCATTTACCAATTCATTCAAAACACGAAGCCCTATTCTATGGGTTTTTTTTCCTCAAGACTACCGTCACTTTGATTTATTTCTAGCTTGTAATATTTTTAAAAATATATTTTTCTGCATCTTTTTAGCCAAACATTTGAAAAAAGTGACATTGAAACTATTGACTACCACGTAATAAATTAAATTATTTTGAGATGTTTGATTTGATTTGATATAAATTTTGATTATAACCTTTTCAATTTTGTTTCTTCTTATTCATTGTCAAACAAATAAGTTCGGCTATTAAACAATTAACAGCCGTAAATCAACTACATAAAAAATTATGTTGTGTACTGTAGAAGGTGATTCGTTAAGTGTCTCTACACAACTATTTCTATGGGGTAAAAATAATCAAATATAATATTATGAGAACAAATGTTAAAAAGAATTTGCCAAACTCGACACTGCAACAAAACAAGAGTTGCGTAAAAAATCTTTTACTTTTTTTTTTTGGTAGAAAAAAAAAAAAAACAAGTACTAGATGTTAAACAACAACAAAAAACGATAAATATTTGGAACCAAATGGTTGGAAAAAAAACTTTAAATTCATATTGTCGATATTAAATGTTTGACAAAAACGTATGCTAAAAAATAAAATGAAACAGTATAAAGATAGCAGAAGTCGGCGGTGGCACGTGTGTGTAGAATGATACAAAAAATCAGGTAAAAATATAATAAATGCAAACGTACTACACTATCTATCTCACTAAATATTAACTGCCCACACGATCTTATGTTAAATCTCCCAAGTCATTCTTTTACCCTAACCCCTACACAACCCTATAATATTTATTTTTAAAATAAACATTACTATTATTATAACTAAATTTTTAAAGAGTAAATTCTAATATTGAAACAAATTTTTCATCCAATAATTCAAAACCTGCTGTACTTGCATAGGCTTACCTAAGCCTATCCATTATTAAATGCTTATTATATAGTAGTATATGGTTTCTGTACTATTTAAAATCTAAATTATTTTTTCCTCAGGGGGTCTATAATCTTTATAGCTCTGATGATATTTCTGTGACTCTCTTTTTTATCCTTTTCAAAATTGTTATTTTTTTCTATTTCAGTTTAATTATTGCCCAAGTGATACCATCGGTCTACTATATATTGTAGTGCTGTTCCTCTGCGTCACAAAAAAATATTATTGGCCCCTGCCAAAGTAAAAAATTTCCTCTATTAAAATTAATCTATCTGCGATAATAATATCATAAAACTTGGCAGAATACTGAAGCAGAAAGGGCTGGTATAATTTGGAAATCTTTTGTAGTCGTACGTCATTTCAGTAACATGCACTATTTCATTTATTTATTTTTAAAGCAAAGCTAATTAAAGTTAAACCAGTTAATGAGCAGAAACGGTACTAGTCTGTGTAAACAGAACTAGTGTATAAAATAATAGTCCAATTTGTTTCAGAATTACAGGGCTAGTAATATACAGTATAATGTGACACTAAACTTTCAGATATTAGGTGAAACAAAAATCACTAAAATGAATATAGATGACTGTTTGTCACATTTCTTTTATAGTATATATATCTGTATATGTCAATCAAATGACAAGAGGGTCCCTACTCTCTTGCTCGTCTTTGTCTGTTTTGTATTTAAAATGTCTATCAAAGTTCATTTTAAAAAAGTTTATTTCTGAAAAATGACTACCAAATATAAATTATCTACCAAGTTGAATATTGAATGCAAGTACGAGTAAAATATCAATTACACCTGTTAAAATTAAACTGCACAATATATTTATTTTTATTTAAAAAAAAAATCAGAACACAAGTGATTAATTTTTTTTGTGCAAAATAAACTTGTTACCATTCATTCAATCTCAAAGGGAGACAAGGAGTACAAGATCATCAACCTAATGGTTGGGTACAAGAGGCTAATTAAAAACAAACTTACAACAAACATAGATAGATAGATTCGAGATGCTTTAAGCTTTGTTGATAGATCCATAGAAGCTCGGAGACAGAGGCTACATCGCAACATGCCACAAACGAGATCATGGTGTGTCAAAGACACTTCCGCGAAGACTTCGGGGAAATTAACATTAGTCACTATCAAAAGAGTTCGTGACGTTGGAAAAGGTTCATTAGCTTCAGTTGTTGCCGGTGCGTACAACTTTGATATCGCTAAGAGAGATGGACATGTTCTCTCCACAAGGGAGGAGGGCGGAGCCGAGAATCTCTCCATGGTGGAGGAGCTTGGACGCCGGAGATCCTTAAGATCAAATAAAAGTAGAATTTTTTCAACGAAATCAGGTTTGGGATCATTCTGAAATTGGTCATAGATTAGGAGAAGGAGCTGGATCCGAATTCTTAAGGTATGGGTGATTGGGAGTTGCAATTTCTTGAGGCCGGAGAGATGAAACTCGTTTAGATCTTGTAACGACGTTGACACAAGCCGCAAAAGGTGTCCTTGGCCAGTTTTGGTATTATGTCGAAGCATCAGAATTGAAGACCTAATCAGAGATTGAAGTGAAACGGACCTGGGCCTGGCAATTGGACATTTTGGGCGGTCAATTCTTAAGCAGGTCCAATAGGAGATGAATGGGCCAGACATGGAAAAGCCCAATATCTGAAACCCTAATCCTCTGTTGCAACGATGGATGAATATTGCTAGGCTTGACGGCGGCGAGAAGCTGGTGGCCAGCTCTGACACAGCTATCCGGTGAACACTTGAGATGGCTTCGAAACGAGCAGATCCATGAGAGAATGAGAGATAGGTCTCAGATCTCAGATCAGAGTAGAGGGCCGTCGCCGGAAACCAGTGGATAAGAGCTCTTAACCGAGCAGAGGATCTGGAAGATCCAAGAGAGTGGGTGAGAGGTCTCACCATCTTTTCTGATGAAGCACAAGCGGAGAGCCGTGTGATCTCCACCCAGAAGATAGATTCGCCGTGCGCCGTCGACGACTCCATCGGACATGGCGCATCTGACGGTCCAAGAGAGGAAACTCTTGCCATCAACGAAGCCCGGTGTGAGCATTCTGCTGGATGAATCGAAAAAGACAATCGTATGATATGAGTTGAATCTGTCTTTTGGAAGATTTGCGGGGGTTGAAGAGATAGACACAACGACAAGAGTATAAAAAAAAACACTAAACAAAGAGAGAAAGCAGATCGTAGAGGCGAAATCCCGACGCCGGCGAGTTTCACCTCCACCGGCGTCGGAAACCATTGTCCTGAAGAGGCTCTCGATAACTGTGTCTGGGAGAAAGCTTGCTATTTGTATTTTTTTTTTTTTTTTTTTTTTTTGGTACGTACGTAAGTCTCTGACACAAGTGATTAATTAACATCAGATTTTACTGGTTTTTTGGTATTCGACTAGATACAAAAATCTAATTAAGGGGGGTGTATTCAATAGAGGATTTGAAATGATTTCTATTAAAATTTTAAATCCTATGTTATTCAAACATGAATTCTAAAAAATTTTCTAAAATCAAGTGTTATTGGATTAGTGATTTTAAAATCTACAATCAAATCCACTGTTATTGGAAACATTTTAAGTTGTGGATTTGAAGTGACTTGAGTGACTTTGGGTGGGATTTCAAAGAATATCTTAGTTAAAAATTCAAACATCCAAATCCCATGGTTTTAGGTGGGATTTGGGAGAATTTTAATAACAAATTCTCTAATTCACCAAAATTCACCAAAATCATCTCAAAACTCATTAAAACTCAAATCACTATAAATTCTTTCTTCAATACACCCCCTAAGTCACCCTTCATCACTTACTCATAAGAAAAAAAAAAAGGAAGGAAAGAAGAAGAGGAAGTAGAAGGAGAAGGTGGAGAAACAATAAATGAAGGAGGAAGAGGAAAGGACAATGGCAGCACCGACCTGCTCCACCAGAGAACGACCTCTCACTCATTTCCCTTCACAAGCTATCTTTTCTTCCTCCCATTTTGCTTCTTTAATTTCTACTACTTT